ATGGAAGAAAAGTCACCATAATGTTCATGTTCTTTGACCCACAGATTCCACTGTTAAGCACACATGCCAAAGAGGTCAGAGACAGAAAGACCTCATCTACACCAAAATATTAATAGCAATGCTGTTTGTAGTAGCCAAGAATTGGAAAGGAGATGTGCATTAACTGGGGGAATGGCTAAGTAAATGATGCCATATGAACATAATGGAACAGTATTGCACCATGGAAACAATGTATATGAAGAACAGAAGACACATGGGAAGACCCAAAGCAAAATAAACCACGCCAAGAAAACAGTACAGATTCTGTGAGTTCAACACTGTAAAGGGAAAGCATGTCAACGACAACCACAAAATCAATATGGAGTGCTGGGAAATTATGAACACTGACTCTGGTACTAAAGAGATGAGATAAGATGGTGAGGATAGGTAGCATTTCTATAGCCCTATATGCTTTTAAAAAGCACTTTACCAGTATTATCTCATCTGATCCTCACAACAACAAGGGGATTATTATTATTATAATAATCTATTATATTATTATTATCTGTTATGCTATTATTATCCCCATTTTTACAGAGGAGGAAACCGAGGCAGAGGATTACGCAACTTTCCCAGGGTCACATAACTAGAAAGTATCTGAGAATCTACCTCTTAATTGTGGAACACCCTGTATCATACTAGTTAGTTAGTTTTATTAAGTTAGTGGGTTTGTTTTGTTAAAACTATTCTCCTCCTCCCTTCCCCCTCCTTTTTTTTTATTCTTTGATTTAGTGATGGCTCTCTGGGAGGGAGAGGGAGAATATATTGGGAAATGAAGGTGATGCAACGTAAAAGCAAACCATTTCAACGATTATTTAAATTAAAAAGAACAAAAATTTAAAAAAAAATCAGAGGCCACTGGAGAAAAATTGAGAAAATATGCCTCTCTCCCTTCTTTGGAGAGATGCGGGACTATGGGTGTGGAGTGACGCATACATTGTCACTCAGCTGATACTGTGCTGAATTGTTTTTTCCTCTTTCTTTTTTCCTCTTTGTTACAAGGGAAGACTCACTAGGGAAGGAAGAGGGCTGGAATACGTTCAAAATGAAGGTGATGTAAATACCAAAGACATCAGTGGATGTTTTTTAAAGCAGGGGCCAACAATATTCCCAGTGCCTACAACAATATAAACAAAAAAATCACTAAAAGGAAGCTAGATTCTTGATCAACAAAAGTCATACAGAATAGATAATGAAACATATCTCTGAAGTGGGGGACCACTTGGACAAAACACTGTATACATTATTGGCTGGGGTCCCCATATCAGATATTTTGCTTAATTGCTTTTTTTTTTTTTTTTTGGTCACAAAAAGGATTTGTTCAGTTTGGAGGGGAGAGGAAAATAAATATTTGTAAAGGCATCAATAAAATGCTAAGAAAAGTGGATAGAATGTTGGACATGGAGTCAAGAAGACCCAAGTTCAAATCTTGCCTCAGAACTTACTATCTATGTGATCCTGAATAGGTTACTTAACCTCTGTCTGCCTCAGTTTCTTCATCAGTAAAATAAGGATAATAACAGCACCAACCTCGTAAGAGTTGTTTGGAGGATAACATGATATGATGTTTGTCCAAATGCTCTGCAAACTGTAGAGTGTTCTATAAATGCTATCTTCATAACCTGTATTAGCCTCATTATTTTAGAAAGCCAGGGGCCAAGGGAGCTATGAGTGTTCCTCTGGGGTACAGACAAAGCCAGAACTACTTTCCCTGGTCTCTAGGACTCTCCCCTTTCTTGGTGCAAATGAGTCCACCTGGAAATCCCCAATTCTCCACATGCATCACTCTGCCTCTGGAGCTCCCACACCCTCACACCCTCCTGGGACAGTAGGCCACATCTAATAGATTAGGCATGTCCCTCATGATCTGGTACAATTAAATGTAGAATGGGGGAAAAAGGGAATGAAATAAGCATTTATGAACTCCTACTATACACCAAGAACTTTTTACAAATATCTCATTTGTTCTTCAATACAACTCTGGGAGGTAGGTGCTGTTATCAAACCCATTTCACAGTTGAGAAAACTGAGGCAAACCAGTTAAATAACTTGCCCAGATTCACACAGCTAGTTAGAGTCTGAGGATTGTCTTTTAATTCAAAATAATAATAATAATGATAGCTAACATTTATATAACTCTTACTATGTGCCAGGCATAATGCTAAGTGCTTTACAATTATTATCTCATTTGATTCTCACAAAAACCCTGGGAGGTAG